AGCATCTCCCCACATTATGCTGTGTATTTCACCTACCATAGAACTAAGGGTGGGGTGACAGTCTCTGAGCTTTTTAATGCCACTTTAGAACCACCACACTTCCATCCTGGTACCCGTTCCATGGTCACACCACCATGTACAGTTCTATGTGTCTATCATCTATTGACCTCCCAGTCACATTTTTCAGGACATGACGCTCCTCTTCCCTCCTCAACCCCACTTATGCCCACATCTAGAAAACTTCAGTATCTTTGTGGGCAATCCACCCAACACCTTTAATCTATTATTCCTTGACCTAAAATACACAGTAACAAATCTCACTCTCACTCCACTTGGGAATTATCTCTCCCACACCTCCAGGGAACATATTCTGAACTTTGTGGGGAATTAACTCCCCAAACCACCAGGAAACACATCCTGAACTTTGTCATCACCAAGAATGGTTCCACACCCAAAATCTTAACTGCAAACATTGTGTTCTCTGACGCAGATGCCTTTCCTCCTATACTCTCAGGACTTCCCTTGCATACACCTGCTCCTCACTGAGCCTTATAGTGCCTGGGTCTTCATCTCCCCACAGTCTATCAGTTTTTCTCTAAACAAACCACAAGTAGTGGAGTATCTGAACTACCCACCACCAGCACATGCAAATCCATGCATGTCTCCTCCAATACTGCATCCATCAGGCAGATCCTCCATGATCCCCACATAGGACCAATGTCATCTTGCTACCTAGAAGTTGAACTCCTTAGGAAAATGTTAGAACCATTCAGATTATTGTCATAACAAACATATGGGGGACACCTGGGTGGCTCAGAAGTTGAGCGGCTACCTTTGGCTCAGGGCGTGATCCCAGAGTCCTGGGATCGAGTCCCACATCAGGCTCCCTCCATGGAGCCTGCTTCTCCTTCTGCCTGCATCTCTGCCTCTCGCTCTCTCTGTCTCTGTCTCTGTCTCTCATGAATAAATAAATAAATAATAAAAATTAAAAATTAAAAAAAACATACAGTCTCTGATTTTAGACCTTCAGTACATCTCCTCAATCCTTTCACTTGATCAACCCTCCTTCCTACTTTCCTTGGTCATTATTTTAAACCTCAACATCTCTATTGAGGAATCATACCAGAGCCTGCTCTCCTAGTCTAAGCAGACAACATCATCTTTCACTTCATCTTTCGCATCATCTTTCGCTTCACTGAAAAAAAAAATGGCGTCCAGAAATGTCTGAGGGAAACTTTTATATATGTATATGTATATATATATATAGTTATATATAGTTATATATATAGTTTTATATATATAGTTTTATATATATGTTATATATCATAAAAACAAATTTTATTTTTGAAGAATCTTCTTACTCTCTCTGTGAGCCTTTTAAACAGAAAATTTCCCAAGCCTCACCCTAGGCTCTCTTGTGTCCACATTTTCTCTTCTACTCCTGTGGCTTCAATTGTGTTCTTTATGCAAAGGACTTTTTAGTCTCTATTATCAGTCCAGACCTCTCTTCTATGCACCATTAAAACTTCAACTCAACATTTCCACTTATATACATATCCACAAAGCACCTCAAAACGTCATGTCCAAAATTGACATCTCTTTCTCTGCAAGTCTCTCTTTCTCCATGGTATGTTCATGCATGCAGGCTGGCTCTCTCTCTCTCTCTCTCTCTCTCTCTCTCTCACTCCCCCCCCCCCACACACACACACACAAATCGATTTTCTTATCTCCTCCTCAGTAAAAGGCATCACCACCCAGTTGCCTGAGATAGAAACCTGGTAGTCATCCTTGCCTCCTCCCTCTGCCTCACCCAATTCATCAACAATTTCTACTAATATTATCTCCTGCTTCCCTCAAATCCAACCACATTTTCCTGTTCAAATAATGAACAACAACCTAGTTTAAATAAGGAAACTAGACCCGAGAGAGAGGTTAAGACATTGAACAATGACATACAACTAGTAGGTAGTAAAGCCACCATCTGTTTCCAAAGCCCATGCTAAAAATGAGAGAATACTGTCTCTGTTGGAGGAACTCTCACAGCCAAAGATACCTCTATGAAATACATATTACACTATTTCAACTGCAGGATGGTCCAAAACCCAATCAGAGAAGGCATGGGGGTAATCAGCTTTCCAGAGAAGCATTTAAAGCTTCAAACAGAATCTGTAATTGTTCAAAGAAGTTCTATGTTTAAGAGGTTCTCCTGAGATAGTTTCTACATAAAGACAAAACAAATGGACCTGTGACCAGAATGAAGAGATAGGGGTATAAACTGATGCTGAATAAAAGAAGCCATCGATTTGACCATTAATGAGGATATGTCATGAATGAGAATAATCCTTTGCTTTTTAAGCTACTGAGATTCTGAGGTTCTAGTTGCCATAGCATAACCTGGTTTATCATAACTGATTCAATCTCCTTCTGTTTTCATTCAGGTTTATGTGGTGCTCACACTATCAAATCCAAAAAGAAATAAATATTGAAAAGGCTGCAAAGTACTGTTCTCTCCTGGAAATTTTTTCTAATAATTTCACTTATTTTCTTGTTAGGTTCATGTTTCTCCGCAGTTTCTCTCTTTATACTCATGTCACTGAAGGTGTACCTTGGAGGGATTAAGAAGAAATTAATGTTAGAGCAAAAAACTAAATGAATGGCAATTTTTTTTGGCAGTTCCTAAAATAAAATCACCTTGAAAATTACATAAGAATGCATCCTGAAGCCTATGGAAGGTGATGTAAATAGGATCTATTCTTTCTACCATAACATCTTTCTAGAGCTGTATCGTTATGTCTTCCTGAGTGTAGTCAGCCAAAAAAGCATTCTTTACACTAGAAGCCGCATCTACTTTTATTCAGTGATTTGGAATGCTAAATTACATTTGATAGAAAGCATGGGCTTTGGGGTCTAGCAGAAATAAAAGTTCAGGTCTTGGTTCTCCGCCACTCCCCAGTGTTGTGATCTTAGGCAAGTCTAAAATGAAGGCAATGGCGTATCCATCCCAGAGGTTGGGATGTGAGGTTTAAAACCCACTGCGAGGGCAGCCTGGGTGGCTCAGCGGTTTAGTGCCACCTTCGGCCCAGGGTGTGGTCCTGGAGAACAAGTCCCAAGTCCGGCTCCCCGTGTGGAGCCTGCTTCTCCCTCTGCCTGTGTCTCTGCCTCTCTCTCTCTCCCTGTGTCTCTCATGAATAAATAAATAAAATCTTTAAATAAATAAATAAAGATACCTCTTTATCTTTAAGGTTTAAAACATCAGTGAATGTACAGTGCCTATTGCAATGCATGGCTAGTGAGTGCTACTATTAGTAGTACTGCTATCATTTTCATCATTTTTATTTTTGCTGTGTAACAGATACGTGGGGACCTGTATTTGTGTATCTAATCCATCACAGCAAGGTCTGAAAGGCAAGAGAATGTGAAGATTCTTTTGAAGAATGGAAGGAATGAATTCCAACATACATGCAAACTGAAGAACACATGGACATCTTAGGAGTTAACTTCTGGAAAGGAATCAAGAGATGATCGCTGTAAAATTAAACTTTTTTAACCTAATATTTAATCAGCGATTCATGTGCTTTTGGAGGCAAATCTTACTACCATAAGCCCTATAAGAAAAAACAATAGCTGCTTGTTTGGGGTGGGGCAGGAGTAAATTCACAATATGCTATTAAATGGTAAGGGTGAGAGAAAGGTCATATCTGGAATAACTGCAAGTTTGAGGGGCCTAAGCAGCTAGGTGAGTGGCAGGCCCATTAACTAAGATGGGGAAGACTGGTGGAAGAGGAGGATTTCTGGCAGGAAAGCAGAGTGGGGTGGGTGGAAGCAAAAAAATCAAGAGTTCTAATTTGGGCCTAAAAACTTAGACATCAAAGTGGAAATGTTCAGTAGACAATTTGATACACAGCCTAGAGATCAAGGGCATGGATCATGGGGAGAGTTAACCATGTAGAGACCATTGGCATGTAGATGTTAAATATTTAATATTTAAATGATAGCAATTGAGGAGAAGAGAGAGAACAGTAGGACGCTGAAGCCCTTAAATCCATGGTGCTCAGGCCAAAGAAGAGCAGCCAGGTAAGGTGACTGAGAAGCAGTGGCTGGTAAGGCTGGTTAAGAGTCAGGAGGTGCCATGATGCTGGAGCAAACAGCGGTTCAAGGAAGGCAGCACCGTCAACTGTGTGCACGAGGCTTAGAACTCACCACATAAAGTCTGCCACTCTTCATTTCCCTGCCTCCACCTTGTATGGCAATACCACAGTTCCCTTCCACTTTCTCACACTTGTGCTTTTACTCTTATTCTCTTGCATTGGGATTCCTCTTCACTTGCCAATATCCCATCCTTATGACCCAGCAAGAATGCCATGACCTTGGTAATGCATTTCCTGACACCACTAATAAAAGATGCCCTCTTCTGCCATCATATCCCATAGTCCATTGTACACTGTATTTTATTTTGCTTTCTGCTATAATTATATGTATTCTCTCTTCATCCTTCCTGTATCTCAACTGGACTATAGTAGAGACTTCCAACTCCTCATAACGTCGCAGAATGTTTGGCATGTATTAGGTGCTCAAAGATTTTCAACGAGTCATATCCAAAAATACAGAACTCAAATCTGGAGAAGTAACTACAAAGGACAAAATCTTTTATCACTTTAGATTTCTGTTTGCCAGCACATGCGCCATCTGCACCCAAGCCCAGGAATCATTTACACATTTTCCTGACCCTCCATAGCAAATTGGAAGGGGTGATCATGCCCAGAAAACAAATTTTTTTTAAATATCTTTTCTTTAAAGACCATGTGACCAAAAAATGGTATTGTGGGCAAAGCTCTTGCCACAGGCCTTGGCTATGTACCTCCTGAGCTAATGGCTATTTTAAAAACCATTTTGACTGATGTTTCCTCCAGATCTCAGATGTAACAATTTACAAAAGTCTCATGGATGAAACAACCTTTATGATCCCTGAATCTCACACTAAAAAGCTAAAAAGACCATACCATTCCAATCCTTGGGTTAAAAGTCAGGCAGCAATTCTTGAACGTTCTTGCTTCAAACATCAGCATCTACTTGCATTCTCTTACACAGGGGAGGAAGACTGTGGTAGATAGAAGTCATCTGGAAGGTAGCTGTGACCAAGATTGGAAAAGGAGGAGAGAGAAAAAACAGGCTATCAATGGGAAACACAGAGTCAAAGCTTCATGAACTGAATAGAATTTCCACAGGTCTAATGATTAATGAGAATTCCCTGCCAAGCTACTATGTGCAACATGCTATAAAAATGGCTGGGGTTTATGGCAAGAATGTCAAGTCTTAGGATTTCCTTTATCCCCTCTTCTCCTGTGCACTCTATTGCACCTCAGGTGTCTTCCAAACTAATCACTTTTTCATAGTCAATGGCAATTCAGAAACACAGATCCCTATACTTTTGCTTAAAAAGTCCAGGTCTTTACAGATCTTTTCAAATAGACAAATAGCCTTAGGATTAAGGATACACCTCCTTTTCAAGTTATTTTCCAGACCCACCACAAATTAACTGTGGGATCGTCCAAACTGGGTGTTTACTTTACAATTCCTACTTCCTATGCTTTCAGACCCCCATATTCAGAATCAGAAATTTTTCAGAGGGTGCGAGGTGAGCAAAGTGACACCTATTGCCAATGCCCAGTAGTAGACTGCCTAAGTATAAATAATCAACCTAAACGCTCTTTGCTTGCTAACATTTTTCTCACAAGACGAAAGAGTCCAGTAACCTCCTTTTTCTTAATGGTGGCGCCACTTCAGCCATGCTCTGGAAGGTATTGGTTTCCTTACGTACTATGTGAAACCATCAGAATAAAAGGGCATCATGAGAGAAAGCAACAGTGTGGGGCTTTGAGGCCTATTGGTTTAGTTGCTCATACAAGAATCTGGGAGGGGGAAACCCCCAAAAGATTAGTCATTTCATTTTGTGTTGCAGAGCTCAATTCAGGTTAACAAAGCATTTGCCAACAAGGGAGATGGGAGAATGACAGTATTCACTTGCTCTAGACTGAATAAGCAAATGTGGGATTTGTGGGCTGACTAATGTCCTAGGATAAACCAGGCACTTAGCCAAAATCTAGGAGCTTTGATGAAAAAGACAGCAAGCCCACACTTTTCTTCTTGGAAAGTGACCCATGGGAGTATTGATGTCCACAGAGCAGTCTGGGCCTTCAGCTTGCCTTAAAGTTTCACCCATATTCAGCCATGGGGAATTCTCAATGCCTCTGTAAATCAAAGGCCTAGCTCAAGTGATAGAAGCTGGATTCCGTCTTCTTGAGAAGTGTTAAATATGCCATTCATCTCCTTTTAGAAATGTGTTATCACTGTCCCTTTTTAAATACTACATTACTCTGAAAATATACAGGTAGGCCACTAAAATGTGACTCTGGTTCTATCTTTCCTTTCATTTAATGTGTTGGCCACTTCCCATATGGTGCTCCAGGCACCATGTAAGTGTCTGTGGATAAAATGGTGACTGAATCAGACACAGTCCATGCCCTTGGGAAGCCCCCAGACCGACCTTGAAATCTTTAGGAGCAATGGAAAAAAAACAAAGTATTGTAACTTTATTTTTGGTTGGAGGCAAGTGTTAAAATTCGCAATTATTTTTATTGGGCAAGGCAAGAAGTCTTTCAATTAAGGTCCAATATAAATTTGTAGGGATGTCAGAAATAAGAATATGGGTTTGCCCTTTTTTCTACTATGCTATTGGGACCATATAACCATGGTCTAGATGAAAGCTGATTTTATTACAAACTGCAGCTAATTGAAATGCCAAGGGTTAAGTTTCACATGTTTTTAACTAACTCAAGAAAAACTTCCCGGCAGCAGCTGATACAATCTTCTTTAAACCAAAAATGTGGCTTATCTACCCAGATCAGAAACATACAGGGCGCCTGGGTGGCTCAGTAGGTTAAGTGTCTGGCTTCAGCTTGGGTCATGATCTCGGGGTCCTGGAACTGAGCCCTGCATTAGTCTCCCTGCTCAGCCGGGAGTATGCTTCTCCTTCTCCCTCTCCCTTCCCCTCCCCTGTTCTCTCTCTCTCTCTCTCTCTCTCAAATAAATAAATAAAATCTTTTAAAAAAGAGAAACATATGGTACGTGCAAGGAATGATTCAATGTGAACAGAATACAAACTAGAAGGAGAAAGTTCATAGTGGTAACTGACATGGTGGTTAACTGAGAAATAGAGAACATTTCAAGGGTCTCCACAAACATCTCCCAACTTTCCTGCAAATTTGGACTCTTAAGTTGTATTTACCTACATCAGAACTTTCATACTTCCCTTATGAAGACCTAATCTTCAGGATTTATTAGCCCTCCAGAGTGCCACAGGAGGCTGCCAAACGGCAAATACAGAGAATTAGTTTTAAGAGGCATTATATGTAACCACATTTAGGAGGAAATTCAAGTAGATTAGCGAAGATTTTAAGCAGGCTCTTTCGCAGACACACCCACAAAACAAAAACAAAAACAATCCCCCCACAAAACCTGGCAAAGAATATTTATGAAGTCATCAAATCAATGCCAAGTTTAACATACTTTGGTTAGTCTCATAAACATCATTCTGCAGAAAATCGGGGCCCCTGGGTGGGCTCAGCGGTTGAGCATCAGCCTTTGGCTCAGGTCTTGATCCTGGGGTCCTGGGATGGGGTCCTGCATCAGGCTCCCTGCTTCTCCCTCTGCCTGTGTCTCTGCCTCTCTCTGTGTGTCTCTCATGAATAAATAAATAAAATCTGAAAAAAAAGAAAGGAAAAGAAATGTAGGTATTATTAAATCAAGGTTTGGAAAAGGAGCCTAATCCCTGCTTACTTACTTTGAAGGCAAGAGTCAGAGTTGAAAGGGAAAGCTTTGGCCAAACTAGAAACGAGCTATTCCAGGTTCTTAAAAATGGGAAAAGAGACCTGCCCCCGGAGCTGAATGATAAGCAGGCAGCAGAAACCACCCGCAGGAACTCAGGGCGGCAGTCAGGAGCCCTGAAGGCCGGGACCAAGCGCCCGGCCACAAACCAGAGGAAGGCCTGCGCAGGAAGCTGGGAGGAACGCGCGGGGCTATGGAGTCGGGGACAGGATGAAGCCAGTCCATATGAGGTTCAAGAAAACCGAGCTGGCAATTCAAGCATCAAAGTGCTTCCTTATGTCATTAACTCAGGACCACATCCTGATTTCAAACAACGTGGAGCCACGGAGAGGACAGCCGTACGAACCGGGGTCACTTTGAGTCTGCGATGATCAGAGGCCCCTCTGCGCACTCTGGGCGCCCCCCACCCTGGGCCCCCTGCGCGCCCTGCCCCCCCCCCCCCCCGGGCCCCTCCGACATGAGCAATTTGACCCGCAGTGTCTGATTTCCCAGCAAAATGAGACAGGCGGCTTGACTTGACAAGTAGCACGAAGTAGCATAAAGAGCTTCCCTAGACAGTGCCAGAGAGCTCGGTTGCCAAAAGCCCGGGGTGGTTATTAGAAGAGGTTACCGCCCCTGCTCGCTGACTACAGCCCCGTCATCCCCAGAAAACAGCCGCGCCAGGATCCGGCCAAGCAATCACCGCTCCCTCGGGAAGCATTGGCCGTTCACCGCCGGCTCTTGCTAACATCCCTGCCTGTTTGCAAAGCGGCGGGAAGGCGCAGCGACAGCAGTTCCTGCCGTCAATTAAGGAGAAATTGCCCAGTGGGATTTTACCTTTTAATTGGACGTCAGCCACGCTGTTTCCTTTGGTTACCTATCAGCTGGGAGTTCCTTGGCAGCCAAGTTCTAGTGCAATTCACTCCCACACTCATCAGAGCAGTCTGGAGGAAGAAAAGCTGCCCAGGGGTCAGAAGGGCCCCAGATCTTTCCCTAATCAGTTGCAAGGCTTTGGGCTCGCCAACTTGCTTCTCTGTGTTCCCCTTTCCTTTAATTATACAATAGGAAATATAAAACCTACCTCTCACATGCTTATGAAGTCACAGGAGAGAAGAGATGAGTGAAAGGTGACTGAAGGTATATTCATATAGACATACTTAAGTGTGTATGTGTACACACAGCTTTTTAAAATGTTTTCCAATTGCATAAAAGAGAAGTGTAGATTGACCTAGATATTTCAGAACAAATTGCCACACTTGGTTTTAGGGCAAAAGCCAGTTGTCTCAATTGTTCAGACCATCTTTCTCTCCAACTCTCTGTCATGGAATCTACAGAAAACTGGCTTTCATGCCAGCTAGGAGGCCAGAGACAAAATATTTTGAGGGAAAAGCAGAAAGAGCAACTGATTATTGTTTACTTTATGTTAGCCAATCTGTGAAGCACTTTACAGATATTATTTCATTTCTTCTTCATTACAATCCCATGAATGATGTATTATATGATACCATTATATAGTATGCCAAAGTTTCTGAACAAATTTATTGTCTGAACTGACACTAAATTCAAACCTGTCTGACTTTGGAGCCCTTGATCTTAATGAGAGCCATTTTAGTTCTGTGAAGGAAACTGTGCTTCTCTTTCGCCCCTGCTTGGGCCTTTGGCATTTTGCCTTGCTATTAAAAGTTGGGCCAGGGAAACCTGGGTAGCACAGTGGTTGAGGGTCTCCCTTCAGCTCAGGGTGTGATCCCAGGGTCCTGGGATTGAGTCCCACATCAGGTTTCCTTCTCGGAGCCTGCTTCTCCAAAGGGCCTCTCTGCCTCTCTCTGTGTGTCTCTCACAAATAAATAAAATCTTTTTTAAAAAATTATTTTAAGTAACAAATAGATAAATAAAAGTTGGGCTGTGTGCTCTGGTTGGTCTGTTGGTCAATCCCTTTGTGGCCCTTCAGGGAAGAGCAGATGGTACACGGAGGGTATGGTGTGAAGGAGAGTTCCCGGCAGAGAGGACAAAGGTTCATGAGTAAAGCACCTATGGGATTTAGTTTTGAAGGGCAGCATTTCTTGGGTAAAGGCCACAGAACCAGTAAGACATTTTCTTAGATTCTCCAGTTATTCCATTTATACAAAAACTATCTTTCAGATGTAGGAATTAGCTGTTTGGAAATTTTATTCAATTAGGATCAATGCCTAAAAAGTTGTTGTTTCCTATGCCTACCTGCTACTTCACGTGGTGGCTTGGGAGTTAGATACATTCCAACTAGGCATTCGAATTTTGTCCTAAAAAGCAGTACTGGCACAGGAAAGGTGTCTAATATGCTTCACCAGGATGCTTTAACCCTAGAAGAACCTCATGGCATATAAGCTTAAATATTAGAAATTATCTAGAAACACCAACTGGGAAGACTTAAACAATAGCGTTTTAAAAGTGAGTAATAACAGTATCTGAATGGCTGATATTTGTTGAGACCTTACACAATAGAAAGCATAGTGCTACACCTCTTATGCAAGTTATTTCATTTGGATTTTGCGACATCCCTCTGAGGCAAGCAGTGCTAGGATTCTCATTTTCAGATGAGAAGACTAAGTTTGTCATCCGTATTTCTCGTTGCCAAAATGACAAAGGAGGATAGAGTAGAGGCTTATATGATGGAACATTACACTTTTCCAGTGTCCTCTGAGATACCTTATTCCTTCACCAAAGGCAGTCCAAAAATCCATTCATCTGTTCTATTGCTTTACCAAAAGGGATTGCAGACTCAGTATATTCCATGAAATTATCCCCCCTCAAAAAAAAAAAAAAAAGTAAAACCTTGAAAGAAGCAATTAAAGATATTTAACTTAAAAGGACTTGAGAATGAACTATGACTCCAAGAAAATGGTATATGCAATTTATGCAAGTTATTGTGAAACCTAACAATCCAATGGAGAACCCTAACTGCCAGACTAGCCCCATAAGTAGTCTCTTCCATGCAATTCGATGAAATTATTCCATTATAGTGATAAAAAAAGAGAAGGGGTGGGAGAGAGCTTTTGTTGAGACTTGCAAGATCTGAAGAGTTAGGCCATTATGATGAGAAGCTTTGGTTGGTATGTGTCGTTTGGCCAGCTCTCTCACTCCTATAACCTGCCCCAGCTGAGAGATTTCCTATCAGCATGAACCTTAGAGGTCCACGACCTGGGGCAGCGAGGTTAGTACAGAAAGACACTGGCAGGATGATAGTGACAAGTTGTTGATGAAATCCAGCTCTAAACTATACCCAATGATCTACATTGCCCTTGGGTTTCCAACTTAATATTTGCTCATCTAGTATCTAACCACAGAAAAGGGGGATCTCAAAATCACCTTAAAGGGAAAATATCTAGGAGGAAGTTATATAGTAGGTCCTTGCTTCTTTTTTTTTGTTGTTATTATTTTTTAAAGATTTTATTTATTTATTCATTAGAGACACAGAGAGAGAGATAGAGACATAGGCAGAGGGAGAAGCAGGCACCCTGTGAGGAGCCCATTTATGGAACTCGATCCTGGAACTTTGGGATCATGCCCTGAGCTGAAGGCAGACGCTCAACTACTGAGCCACCCAGGCATCCCTGTTGTTATTATTAATTAACTATATTTTATAATACATTTTCCTTAATGAAGACAGTATGAATAAAAAAATAACAGGGAATTTGGTACCATTGAACCTGAGCTATAAGAATCAAAATAAAAAATAATTATGATACATTTTAGCATATGTAATGCAGTGCAGCATTATAGGCTGCTCCTGCTTGTTTCAGACTTGCTGCTTGGCTAATCTATCACAAATGATAAGTGCTTCAGCTCAGCAGTTCTTGGAGGCATGGAGTTTCAACAGTGGTGATGGAGTGTTTATCCAATGCCTGAGTCAAAGTTAAATCTCAGAAATAACTGTTTCTTTCCCACCAGTTCACAAGCATCCAGACTTTCCTTCTAAAACTTTAAAATAAAATACTTTTTTAATATATAGTTTTTTTACTGAAGTTCAATTTGCCAACATATAGCATAACACACAATGCTCATCCCGTCAAGTGCCTTCCTCAGTGCCCATCACGCAGTTATCTCATCCCCCTGCCCGTCTCCCCTTCCACTTCCCCTTGTTTGTTTCCTAGAGTTAGGAGTCTCTCATGTTTTGTTACAGTCTTTAATTTTTCCCACTCATTTTCCCTCTTTCCCCTATAATCCCTTTCACTATTTCTTATATTCCCCATATGAGTGAAACCATATAGTGATTGTCCTTCTCCTGAGTGAAACCATATAATGATTGTCCTTCTCCAATTGACTTACCTCATATGACTGAACAAGAATTAGGTTTATTCTTCCCATCAAAAGAGAGACTGGATGTAGGAGAAAGAAGAGGCAGAGGCTAATCTTGTAATTTGGCTTTGACCTAAACATGGTAGATCTATCCTAATCTCCCTTCCTAGACACTTTTATCACCTTGGACAGTGTATGGAGTAGAGAAATCCAGGGAACATGAGATACCTCTACTTGATAAATAGAATGCAGCTAGTTTTACCTTTTAATTGAGCACAAATGTTTACTTGAAACCTCTGGACCAGATCCTCCTACATTTTTCCTCCTCTTGAAGCAACTATCTATACAAGGTCAAGTCTCCAATGACAACCTTAGCAGTTCCTTGAGGGGCAGGCAGTCTAGAGGTTTAAGTACATGGGCTTTCACATCCTATCTGTGTTCAAATTACATGTCCAACACTGATGTGGCCTTGGAAACTCAAATTATTTTACTTCTCTGATCTTTCTGTGGTTCCTCAGTCTCTAAAATAGAGATACTAATATCTTATGGGATTCCTATTAAAATTAAACAAAATGAAAAAAATTTTCAGAAAATGATGTGCATAAAGTTCCTAGTGGAGTGCTTAAAA